GACTAATGAGTGGAAACCAGTTGCATGGAAAGCATGCCTTAGGAGCTCGAGCGAATAAGATCTCGCAGGGTATCTTAACAGTACGCTTCGAGATGCCATATCCTATTTGGTGTACGCACTGTCCGAAGCCTACTATAATAGGGCAAGGGGTACGATTCAACGCGGAGAAAAAGAAAATCGGCAACTATCTCTCGACGCCGATATACAGTTTTCGCATGAAACATATCACCTGTGGGGGTTGGATCGAGATACGAACGGATCCAAAGAATACAGCCTATGTGATAACTGAAGGAGCGAGGAAACGAGATACCGGCGAGGATAAGATCATGGAAGGGGATGTTAAAATCTTGACCGACGAGGAAAGAGAGAAACTCAGAAACAATGCATTCGCATCCTTAGAGGGAAAAGTCGAGGAGAGAGAAAGGCTAGTAGTCAGCAAGAAACGGCTGGAAGAGTTACAAGATCTTTCCGAACAATGGGAACACCCATATGAAATGAATAGAAAATTAAGGAACACCTTTCGGGAAGGGAGAAAGGCGCGAGAAAATGAGGCTGGTGTAGCATCTTCGTTGCAAGATAAAATGAGTTTAGGTCTCGAATTATTGCCAGAGCATGAGGAAGATGCACGGAGGGCTGGTTTCATTGAATTTGGGAACAATGGTTCTCTGGCCAATATCACTAAGGCAATCTCGAAACCCCTCTTTCAACACGCTAGCGAACCGTCTAAAGCAGAGGGAAAGGGCCAAAAGCTTTCGCGACGAAAGCAGGCTGAGGCACTGGCGGCAAAACAACGCAACGATGCCGTGGCTGAGATAAGAGGTAACACAAGAGCTGCGATGGACCCGTTCCTCATCAACAACCAACCAAACGCCTGTAAGAGCACACCAAAACCCTTGTTGATCGGAGTTAAGAGGAAGAGATCTAGCCCAGTTCTTGAGGATGCTCCACCAACACCAAAAGTGGCTGGTTTGGTTGATTATGATTCCGATGATTGATTACCATGGGGGTTCGGTAAGACATCTAGATGGAACTCTGGCGTTGTGGTTAATGGGTGAAGTTTGCGATACCCTTTTGCTATTTTGATATGCAGTGTTTATGGACAACGGAAAATTGGAAAAATGATGAGAATATCACATGCAGACTTGAACAGGCCAACAGGTACCGCGTTTTCATTGATTCATGAGATGAGGCTGCTCAATGTCTTGCTGTCAGCCTTTCTCCCTACACCCAAAGGGTATAGTGGAGAAGCTTACCTACATATGAACGGTAAGTTCGTCTACACTTCCAACGTTGCCTTAGCACAAACAATTGGTGAATTCTTTTGGCGCACGAGCCAATGCCGGCTCTCAGCCATCAACACGTCGCTTTAAGTCATCAAGTGAGTGACACTTTCCTATTATCAAGTCATCAATATACCTACCATCAACATCTTTTGCGCAAAATGCAATGGGCATGGTGATCTTTGAAAAATGGTTCTGCTGCCGGCTCAAAAACCGGATTGGAAGAAGGAAGTCTGCGAGTTAGTCCGTTTTTCATGACCCTTCAATCACTCCTTTGTTCTTGCCGCCCTGTCGGATATGAACCAAGACGGAAATTCCCGTTTCAACAAAAGTTTTGTTGCACGTCTGAATGACGATGTGTTTTTTTACCAAGTCTTATCTTTACCAAGTCTTATCGCTGGCAGTAAGTAAGCTTATCAGACGAGGCGGATTCGTTGCGCAAAACCTCGTCTTTACAGACCATCCTTCAGCATTTAAAAAGTAACTTCCATTGGAACAGATAGAGCTTTTGATGTCAAGCATCGATATAATTCCTCCCCCATCATCATGCCCACCCAGCACCCACTCACAAAGTCGTCCCTTCTGCCTCATGAATACCTAGTATTTGCATATCAACAGGATGACCGTTTTATAATCTAATCGCAAGGCCGCATCGCCAGCACTTTTAAGCCTCCGAACCTCCGACATAGATTGTATTGGTTGTATATATGCTATGAAGCCCAATGAAACATCTTATGCTACCTATTCGTACAATCAAGATCAAATTCAATTTTTTTTGCCTCGATGGCATGGGAGTAGGCACAATGACTCTCGGAGTAATAGGGCCAATTTGCTGTTACTGAATCACAATAGTATTCGATTGACTTTATGTTTAGACATAGTGGTAATCAATATTAAATCTGGGTGCTCTTTTCATGTTTCGGGTCTCTAGTTTCGCTTTTCCTTACAATACCCAGGTAGCATTCTCCTATGGCTAAGAAGCCTCAGCAGACCTCTGTTCTTATCTTATACTTCGTAGTGATTTGGATTGCCTGTTGATTGTAACACCCGGGCAGTTGTAGCCTTGTAGACGAGGAATGGTTTGGTTTACCCTTATCCACGGAGATACTCAAGTCCCATCGGCGTTGTGCCTCTCTCCCGTGAAACACTCAATGCCCAGAACCAAATAGGTACACACGCAATGGATATATTAAGCTTTGAAAATTTAAGGATAGTATTGGCTAGCCCCTCCCCTCGAAAGCCATTTTTGTTTCCCGAGGTCATGTTGGAACCGTGTTTTCGATTTTATGCTACCACGTGATCCTCGATAAGAAACTCTGTGACCTGTGATTTCGACTTTGAATATCTTCAACCTCAAAAGCCGCACAAGTATTATTTAGCAATTACACTACGACGACCATCAAAGAATTGGTATTATATACGGTCAAGTTATACTAATGAAGTTGCCAAGGTATTCACCGTTCGGCTTGTAGTCACTGTACTTACAACTCACAACAGATGGTAAGATTTCTTAGGCAACCAACTAACAGGGTAAAGGGCAAGGCAGACTGGCCTCAGCCTTACACAGTCTGTAACTAGGTATAACTACAATATAATTCTAAGACTGGTTCTAAATGTAATTTAATGCTCCTGTACCCCAAAATTCTTCAACGAATTCTTCGAAGATCACGATCACTTTCTTCAATCAAACAATCCATAAGCCTCCATCATACATCCAAGATGGCTTCCTCAAACCCCATGCCCATCAAACCCGCCACCAGCTCCAACCCCAATCACAGGCCCAGTAATGATATTGCCTCATTCAAAAAATTCCTCTCTTCCTCTACTCGGGTTCTTGCCCTTTGTGGTGCTGGACTTGGGGCATCTTCTGGTCTCGATACTTTCCGTGGACCGGGCGGCATGTGGCGAAATTATCGCGCGCAATCACTTGCTACTCTGGATGCTTTTACAAGAGATCCGGGTTTGGTTTGGTTGTTTTATTCCTATAGACGTCATAAGGCTTTGGCTGCGGAGCCGAATAAGGGACATTTTGCTCTGGCAGAGTTGGCGAGGAGAATGAGAAAGGATGGAGAAGAGGGATTTGTTTGTTTGACCCAAAATGTTGATGGTAAGTTTCAGAAGAGAGATATCTTATGTCGCCATTTGCTATCAGATACTGGGATCAAAAGTACTGGTCCTGAGAGGAAATGAGATTGCTAAGTGGTAATCGTTCCAAGTAACTCTTCAATCTAATCTGGATATTCCGAGCTATTTGATTCTCCTCTTGAGCGTATTTAGAATCGTCACTCAATTTCATTAGGTCTGTCTCAACGCGCAGGTCATCCGGAAGGTTCTCTCAAACTTCTCCATGGGTGCCTTTTGGATATCAAATGCGCCAACCCTGTTTGCGAATACCGCGAACGTAACAATTTTGATGATCCTTACCATCCATCACTCGCAATTACCAGCGAAGATGACGAAAAGCTTCTACCCGCCGCTAACGAAACGGTGAGGCCTTCCTTTCCCTTGTCCCTTAGCCCTGCAATGCTATCTCGAGCTGGACCCGAAGTTCAAGTATTATGCAGCTCCCTCAAAACCACATGAAGCTAACGCACTCCCCAGAAAGCCATAATAGCCTACCTTGACCCCAACAAAAGTACCACCACTATCACCAAAGACGAGCTTCCCCACTGCCCCAACTGCACAACCTCCCTCTTACGCCCAGACATCGTCTGGTTCGGCGAAGTCCTACCCGAGGATACTCTAAACGAAGTGGACCAATGGATTTACAAGGCACCCATCGACCTCATCCTAGTGATTGGAACGACGGCAAAAGTATATCCAGCAGCAGGATATGTAGACATGGCTCGGGCTGCTGGCGCCAGAGTTGCGGTAATCAATATGGATGCGGAGGGATTGGGTAGTGCTGGTGGGCTGGGGAAGGATGATTGGTTGTTTGTAGGGGATGCGGGAGAGATTTTGGAAGAAATTCTGAGTCCTCTTAGTGGTGAGGAGAAAAAGGTAGAGGATGGTAGAGGAGGATGATTTGAAAGTGGAGCATAGCGTGTAGGGATCGAATTGAGTATGCGGTGATTGTGATTGTCTATTTATATTTGGTGATTGGCAGGAAGCCATTCCTGAGAACGATAAAAGTGGCCGGAATTGGCTTACAGACTAATATTCCATCATTGTGAACCAGCCTGCCAATTGCTTTGAGACGCCAATCGCTGTGAATCTTCATATTGAAAGTAAACTATGTTCACTTCTACTCAATCTACAAATACTACAGGATATCATTCAAATATATGACCTTTGGTTCCCTCCATACTTCCCTTCAAACACCATCCATCGACTCCACATCTAGTAACGATATAATTCAAAATTTACCATCTAATCCCTACAATCCACCGGTCAAATATGTGGTGTTAGTTCCCTCTAGACTCTGTTTTCTAAATTGCAAATACGCTACACTCACCCTAATATTAATATCACTTGAGCTATACCATCTCCATAGAACCCTAGGAAGAATAATAGATTTTCATCAATATACCTAACTTTCCTCTCTCTTGACTGCACCTAACAGCCGATCCCCTTATCTACCCGCATCTACCCCACATAGTCCTGCATGCAACCATCCGCCACCCAATAATAAATCTCACCCATCCATGGATCCTTCTTCCCCCACTCTATACTCTATATATTATTCTTTTTGACTGCCACATTCATCAAACAGCAACAAAATCCGAATTAGTGTAGGGGTTAACATAACTCGCTTTCATGTCTCATCTGCCTCGAGCATTTGATCACTGATCCGAGTAGCCCCGGGTTCGATTCCCGGATTCGGAATTATCTTTTTCTTTTGCCATTTTCATACAATTAAAATATTTACATGTTCATCTTTTGGTGCCTTTTTTTTGAGTTTGGTTTGTAGAAGATGGATGGAGATGGATTTGAAAAAAAAAATGCAGGTGGAGAAGTATGTCTGGAATGTGGCTGGAGTGCGGCTGGATTGTGACTGCAGTGTGGATTGTAAGTGGGGCTGAAATCCGACACCTGACATTGGTACTGTGGAGGCAGGAATGATTGGTAAACTATTACATAATCATTTCCTTTATTCAGTTAGTATAAAATATCTATTTTAGCTAGTAAAGAATGAAATCACTTAATAATACAAAACTCCCGACCTTACAATACTCTGTGGAAAAATCAAAGCTGCCGATGGAGGAGTTCTCTTGGCTTTACCATTAGACTGGGAATTTTGACGTGAGTTTTTTCTTCTCATCTATAACCGAAGCAGGCGAGCATATCTGCAAATTATCGTGTACTGGTTGTGTAGACTATTTGATATCGATTTGATCAATTGACTGATGATATATATAATTTGTGTTTTTGTTGAGTTATATTGGAAGCATAGGATTGGATTGATTGTAGAAATCATATGGATTCTATTATTCCTACGAGCGTAGCCACGTTTGTGCTACACACAGACGCTACGCTACGCGCTACGCTAATCTACATAGTAACCGGAAGCGCTCCGCGCTTCAACGGTTTTGCATATTAAAACCTAGGCTACAGTGACCAATAATAAAAAAGGGCCTGAGCGTCAAAACACACCAAAAATCGCGATTTTTCACCTTTTTCATTTTAAATTATTTCTATAACTTTTCAATCAATTAATTTAAAATTTCATATATATATTCATTTTCATATAAAATTAAATAAAAATTAAATAGTTTATTTTTAAAAATTTAATTGATCTTGATAATTAAGATTAAAATCGAAAATTTTCAAAAATGCTAAAAATGTTAAAAATCGCTAACAAAAACATCAAAAATCCGAACTTTTTAAATTCATCAATTTCAATCAATTGGTTCAAGCTAAAAAAAATCAATAAAAATATTTTGCTAATTTTTAATTGATTATAATATAAATAATTATAATTATACAAAATTTGAACAAAAGAAAACTATTCGTTGAAAAGTTATATTTAATTGAAAAGGTTGAAAAATAGCTTTTTTTGGTGTGTTTGCACGTTTCGGCCCTTTTTAATAGTCTAGTACTGTAACCTAACTCCAAAGATAACAACATATAATCTGGTATCTCTCTAATAAACAGTACCTTGCCTAAACTTTGCATATTGTGTTTCATATCGGGTGAACCAAACCAATCCCAAACTCCCGTCTCTTATCACATCTCTACTTCCCTATCGCCTCCCCTAACATCCCGGTGATAGCAATAACCTTTTCTTCCTGAAACCTTCTCCCTACAATCTGCACCGAAACATGTGCACCGTCGTAAATTTCCGGGTCATCTGATTTCCCATTAGCCTCTTTCTTTCCTATGTCGAGACCTTGGTCAATAGATAACAAGTCATTCAACTTACAGCATTTCCAAACCCTTTCATCCTCCGCATTCAACGGTATATATCCATGATCAAAAAGATCAATATTCTTGTCCACCGTCGTAACCGGTAGAATCGCAGCGCTATAATCAAGGAGGTTGACGAAAGTCGAGTATGCTGAATATCAATCAGTGCCATGAACCGTGATCCAAAATATTTACAACGTACCTATATAATCAAAAGTCATCGAAAGATTCGCAGGCATAGGAGCCAACGGCGTAATAACCGCATCAATGGCCCTTCCGGTGCCCGTGAGTTCTGCTGTGCTGTTCCAATATTCCATATATTCCTTCTGATACTCTCTCTTCTCGACATTGACGGCTGCAATGTCGAAACCGCCCATTTGGGGTTTGAGGACGCTGTAATGAGCCTGGATTTGTGGGATCATGGGTTCGCCTGAGAGTGCGAGGGCTTCGTGAACTATAAGATGTAAGTTCGGGGAACTGGGGAATTGTAAGATTGGGAGGGGAAAGGGCGGGGGGCATACCATCCTTTCCTCCGTCGAAGGACCATGCTTTGCTCTGAAAGCTGTTAGATAAGGCTTGGAAAGTTCGAGACATATGTACTTACTCCTATGGCACATCCTCGTTGATGAGAAGGGGGATTCCACTATAGATCGTGATTAGCCAAAAGATCTAAGGATAGGAATGTTGTTTTTTTCATTGTTCATAATAGTTTGGATATTTTCCCCACTTACTTCGATAACCTTATGTCCAAGTCTTTTGACTGTATTGACCACTATATCAATCGCTCTAGCAACAGGCGGCTGAGGCGCAACTCCCCCGTCGCACTTGAAGACCCCAAATGCCAATTGACCACCTCCATTAGATTTGATAGTATCAAGAACTATTTGTTCTTGCTCATCACGCCATGGTATTTCACATACTAATGGATCATGTAGCCACGGTTGAGCACTCAGTATGCTCTTCATGACCAGTTTCAGCGATCGAGCTGTAGTGGCAATGGGCCCCACAACAGATAAAATAGTATTTTGTCCGGCTAAACTGTTGGCCATTCCTTCAAATGGCATTCTCCCCGACGAAGGACGGATGCCATAAAGGCCATTGAATGCTGCTGGAATACGAATGCTTCCTCCAATATCCGTACCGAATCCCACCGGGCTTCCCCTCAATCCTATCAACGCCCCTTCACCTCCCGAGCTTCCACCTGGTCCCAATAATCTGTTCTTTGGGTTCTCCGTAGTGCCCATAATATTATTAACAGTCTCACCCGCCATAAGAGTTTGAGGAACGCTTGTTTTGCAAAACATAATTGCACCAAGACTCCGTAACTCTTTGACCATTTCGCTCTCGAACACTCGTTCTTTCCCCGTATGTTTCTTCCCTTCAAAGGTTCCGATCCAGCCTACATAGCCCATTGAGGTTTCGACGCCTCTGACATGAAACCTAGAAATTTGTGAGAAACTCGAATCCACGAGTAACAGCTGAACTTACTGGTCTTTCAGGCTGACTGGTAACCCATGCAGTGGACCCGTAGGTTTTTTGTGCTCGACAAAATAATCGTCAAGCTTCTGTGCTTCTAAAATAGCATCCTCGAAGAATATTTCATGCAAACAATTGACCTATATAAAGGAAATTAGAATTTTTGTTGAAAATGGTGCCTCAAATACCAACCAATTGATGAGCTAAAGAAGCTCGGTGACAAAAAGCTTCACAGACTTCACGTGCTTTCCATTCGCCACTAGTTGTTTTCTCTACTATTCCTACAGCGTCCGTCTCAGTAATTTCAATCTCTCGAGTAGAAAGAAACTGCTGAATGTAGTCGCCTGTTACATCTTTCTGTTCATTGACAGAGGGAATCGTGTCCAAGCGCCACTTCTCAGGGATCAATCGATTGACCGAATCACGCTTATTCTTTGCGATAGTTTGCCAATCCGGCAAAACTGGACGAAGCTGACGACTTCTGTCGAGGAATTTCTCGTACCAGTACATCTTAATGTGAGAGGCAGTAATGATGAGAGAATGTATAATATGTTTGTTCTGGATCCGCCGTAACATATCTGATTTTGTTGGTTGGCTTCCCGCCCAGGGACCCATAATGGGCATTGGTGTTTGGGGAGATCCATCTGCATTGCCGCCCATGATAATTTCTCCGTTTCTTGTATACTGCATGAAAGAATGAAAATGGGGGTTGTTGTTGCAGGACAGCGGGCAGGGGATTTTTATATAGAATTATGCACAAAATGATAACGAGGCGTAGTGTGTGTGGACTTGTCAATGCACCGGGAAAGCCGTGTATTAGTGGGAAACTATCGTGTTTAGCCCCTTAAATTAAATTGACGAATCAAGACTCCGATTTCCGTTCTCCCACTTGTCGCACATTCAAATTGATTCTCTTATCCACCATAAACTGTGGGAAGTCTTTTATGTCCAATTTGAGTTGCGCGAGGTATTCTGGGCATGTACCAGAAATTATCTTTGGAACTCCATGCCAGGCAAATCGAGACTCTTCCTTCATATAGAGCACATCACCGGACCTGAGACGAATGGCTATGTGGTCTTTATCAGATTTCGGATTTTCCAAAGCAATCATAAAGATACAGTCACAGCCAAGACTGATGCTGACCAAGCCACGGTCAACACTCTCTGCGCCGTCTCGATGTAGTTGGAGAGTATCTTTTGGTGAATAAAAATTCACAATGGCTGCTTGCGGTTCCATGTCGGGAAAAAGACCTTCAACGAGATTCGCAATGTCACTGGGAAATTTTGGGGGTTCCTCTTCAGGATATACTTTATTTGTCCAATCATACTGCCCACCAAGAGTAATCCAGCGCAATTTTTTCGTCATGACTTCCAGGTAGTTTAGTTCTTTCGGGTGCACGGTGGGATCTTTAGGCCTCGCAACAATGGACTCTCCAGAAGTAGTCTCGGGGGGTGGGATTTCGACATCGTAATGGGCATGGAGGTTTGTCATGTGTTTAGGATCCCGAAGATCACGGTGTACTATTCGCCGGATCAACTCTTCCTGGATCTCTGGGGAAATGAGAGATGGGAAGAACATGAGACCTAGATCTTGGTTAGAAGTTGCTTTGCGGAGGGCTATTTGAGAGTTCAAGAAGAAGAACATAGAAAGAAAGACAGTATATTCTCATTGATACCGCAAGAATTCAGACACAGAGCAATGTGAGCACCCTCGCGGTAATTATGACAGTCTATCCGGAGTTGTTCAAGCAAAGCTCTTTTATACACATTCTTGAAGATCAAGGTTTGGATATCTGAAGAATTGAGGATCTCTCAAAATGAGTTGAATCTTCAAGAGGAATTCATTATGAAAACGGCCTTGTCTTAAATAAAAGTTCCGGATAGACTGCCGTATCAGATAGTATAGACTGGTATTGCAATGGGTGCTGAAAGAAAGACTATGGTTTCCTACCAGGGATGACTTCAGAACTATACGATGAACCTTCCAATTGGGATTCAGAGAA